ATCAAATATTTCTCGATGTGAGCAGGAAAACATGGGGCACGGCACAGTTGATGCCGATGGCAAACGCAGCTGTTTTTCTGAAACAAATGAAAATTCCCCCCTTTCTCCACACTGCACTATTTATTTATTTTTTATTTTTTTTTAACACTGAATGGCTTTCATACAAACGAATTATCTCTTCCCCTTTTGGAGAGGCAGTTTAATGTACCAGCCTCGTCCTAATCACGCATTCACGGATTAGAAAGAAACTTCCTAAAAAACAAAAGCAGCTGCAGCAAGTGCCAGATCAGCCGAAAACAGCAAGTGGATTGTTCCAGACACGGCTTAAAACCCGAAAATCCTGTCAGGAAAACCAGCCTGGAGGGTCACTGGGCTTTGGAGATAAACGTGAGGGTGAGCCGAGGCACAGACACGCTGAATATTTTAAGTGAAATAGTTTATTTTGAGGAAAAGATTCCCCAATGGGATCATCATGATCTGCAAACTCCCAACAGCGGATTCAACGTTAAAAAAAAGGAAGATGAAAGTCATAACGAGGCCAGACCTTTCATTTAGAAATTTTTGCTGTTGAGCAGATATATTTCGACTTTTTTAGTTATTTTAGAAGCAGTTTTAAAAGCTAAACTCTTAGGGACACTTCAAAATTTTTATTTCAAGTGGAACCAAATGGGGATTATTTCTTTATGTTTTAGGAGGAATTGGGCAGGATTTTTGTAGAAAATTGGGTGAAAAATGTTTGGATTCATACAGATTTCCAGCTGCAACTCAATGTTTGGAATGCAGAGGGAAGAAATGCCCAATTTCCAAATTCTGGTGTTGCTCAGCTTGACAAGGCCAGGCTGTTCTGCTGGAAATTGAGGAAAGGTGGCTCTGGAAATTGAGGAAAGGTGGCTCTGGAAAATCCCAGTCCGGTAAGGAACGGTCTGTGCCAGGCAGGARMTGTCCCCAGGTGTGTCCCCCACCCCTCCAGGGTCACTCACCTGCCCTCAGGTACCTCAGAAATCACTTTTGCTCCTGGGGAGGAAATTGAGCTTCTCATCAGCTCAGCGTGCAGCGCTTTCCTCATCTAAAAAAAACCCTTTTGGGGCTCAAACTGTGTTATCTGTGTTCCTTTTCTACATTTCCTTTGGTGGAGCCACTGCCACGAGCCCTGACTGGTTCACACCGTGCCCCAGCAGCGTTTTTTGTTTTTTTTTAATAAAAAACCCTTTTTTCCTCCCTTTATCAAACACTTCTCCCACCTGTTAATCTCTTTATCCACCACCTACAACGTGAAAGCGCTGCAGCAGCAAACTTTCACCTGAAAAAAAAAAAAATCAACAAATGAGAGAGTTTCTGTTAAATCAGCCCCAAAATCTTTACAGCAGCTGTGGGGAGAGCAGGATCGATGTCTGAGGATGGAGCCCATGGATGGTGGGAGCTCCACGGTCCCAGGGATGAGGGGGATTTGGGATGTGACCCCAAGTTGTGATGCAGCTCCTGAGGTAGGTGGTGTTTTTTTKGGATTTTYTCTTTGTTTTTTGATAATTCAGGGSGATTTTCTGGGGTGTTCTGTGCCTGGGAARGGTTGCTGTGGGGGTGATGGGGATGTTCAAAAGTGAGCAGGCACCATCCCCATTAGTCAGAAATGGGTCAGGGACCTGGAAAAAAAATTTAATTTCTTGTTCCTGACCTCTGGGCACCTCTAGAGCTTCAAACTTAACAGTTCCTATGAAACAACACCCCAAAAACCTTCTGGGAATCCTCAGGATGGATCTGCCAGGCCCGTTCTTGCACCCCAAATATCTCAGAACATTTTCCAGAGGGTGAGCAGGTGGAAGCCCATCTTCACCCCACAGCCAGAGGGTGTGAAATGCTTTATCCCAGCAGGAAATGTTTTTTGGAAGCACCCAGAGCTCTTTTGGGGTGGTGGATGAGTCGCTCTGRGCACAGCCCCAAGGAAGTTGGGCTGAATTTGTGCCCAAAACTGCTGGAAAATGGAGAATTAACAGAGGGGTGATGGGTCCCTGGAGTGAAACAGCTGCAGGACAGCAGAGGAACACCCAAATCTATTTAAATGAGGCTTTGACATGGGGGAAACGTCACGGAACCCGCGTGGGCTCGGCTGTGCCCCGACCTGGGGGGAGAGCGGGACCGCATCCGGCACCGCTGCACAGCTGGAGTGAGGCTGCACCCCAAAATCCTGCTCTGACAGCCTGAAATTCTGCTCTGACAGCCCCAAATCCTGCTCCATGACCTGAAATCCTGCTCCACGGCCTGAAATCCTGCTCTGACAGCCTGAAATC